TGGATGGCTTTCGGTGCCTAGTGGAGTCCCACAAGGATCCTTGCTTGGTCCACTTTTATTTGCGGTGTACCTAAATGACGTTCAGCAGTGTTTTCAGGCTTCAAAGCTGCTATGTTTAGCTGGTGACATGAGAATCTTAACAGCTATCTACGTCTAAAGACACACGTCTGTTACAAGAATATCTATTGCGGCTTAACAGCTACTGTTCAAGCAATCATTAAGATCTTAATCCTTCTAAATGTAGTGTTGTCACTTATAGTCTGAAGCGAAATATGGGTTTGTTTGACTACAAACTAAAACAATCCCAATTAAAACGTGAAATAGCTGTGAGAGACTGTTCGATACGCATATCAATAAGGTGATCGCGAAAAGCTCTAAGGCCCTCGGGTTTATTATGCGCAACTCCAAAGACTTTAGTCAGGCCAAGACACTCAAGATTTCAACATCATCAAGCATTTCAGGTCTGGAACCCTAGATATTCCTACCTATATATCTCGTATTGAAGGCATCCAGGGGAAGTTTGTAAGATATCTGTGCTTTCGTAATAAGGAATGATATGATTCAGGTTGGTACGGGGAACTCTAGTCCAGGAATTTTAGCACCAAAAATCGGTCCGCTCTGCATAAAATCCTTCTACGTGATTTTTTGATTGGATTATATCAGAGGGTGTCCCCTAAGTATAAAACCGAGTTTCTGTCGCCCGAAACCGCGAGCGTTAGCCGCCATCTTGGAAACCGTTTTTTTGCATATATCTCGGAAACGGTAAGTTTTACGTTAAAAACCGAAGAGATCTTTTTTGTAGAGAACAAAATTTCCCATCTTTTTTATACCAAACTTTTCCCCCTATTGTTGATATTTTCCGATATATTGAAGTAAAAAAACCAAATTTTTTGTTTTTGTAAAGTATCTCAATAATTTTTACAGATACGAAAAAAATGTTTGAATTAAAGTTGGAGAGCATGAAATTTTCTACAAATTTTGTATAAAACTTTTTCTTGCAAAATGATTAGTTGCTGAGTTCCAGCTGAATAAAAATTGTCACCAAGAATCGAAAATCAGCGATGAGCGGTAATACGTTCTCTGGCATGCAAACAAAAAAGTATAATCGAAAAATTTTATCATGAAGACGGTAACGATTTTATTTAGTAACGTATTGCCACTTACCGCTGATTTTCATGATCTTTTATTGCGCTAGAACTCAGCAACTAATCATTTTGCAAGAAAAAGTTTTATACAAAATTTGTAGAAAATTTCATGCTCTCCAACTTTAATTCAAACATTTTTTTCGTATCTCCAAAAATTATTGAGTTACTTTACAAAAACAAATAATTTGGTTTTTTTACTTCAATATATCGGAAAATATCGACAATAGGGGGAAAAGTTTGGTATAAAAAGGATGGGAAATTTTGTTCTCTACAAAAAAGATCTCTTCGGTTTTTAACGTAAAACTTACCGTTTCCGAGATATATGCAAAAAAACGGTTTCCAAGATGGCGGCTAACGCTCGCAGTTTCAGGCGACAGAAACTCGGTTTTATACTTGGGGGGCACCCTCCGACATAATCCAATCGAAAAATAACGTAGAAGGATTTTATGCAGAGCGGACATCTAAAAATCTTGGACTACTCTGCAAAAAGCATCATCTTCTTCCTTTAGAGATGTGGCTCTAAATTGCAGATTTAGTTTTTCTCAGTAGGATCGCTTATGGGACTGTTGACTGCCCGAAACTCCTATCAAAGATCTTGTTTGGAGTTCCCCCCAAACCCCTCAAGACTAATCCTCTTTTAAGATTTAGAAGCACTTCAATTTTCTATCAAAACAGGTAAATTTAGATATTTTTAACACTTCCTATCGTTGATTAGACGTATCATTGCTCGTTTGTTTTTTGGAAATCATAATTATTAGGTGCTTAATTTGTTGTTCTGTTATTAATCATAAAGACCTCATATAAAAAACTATATTTAAGAGTTTTTATTTACATTGGACTGTGCAAATAGTTTCTTTATAACTTTAAGTTATGTCTAGATTTGAGGACCTGTAATTGACTCTTTGTTGCTACTAGTTATTTCTATTTTATTAAGATAAGCTGTTGTCCTTCCATATAACCAAAATAAATAAATAAAATTAAAAGGGGTCATAGCCGTAACTTCAACGCTATTGAATATCTTGACGATATTATATAGTTATCTTTTCAAATGTATTCGTGAATACTAGTAGATTTATATTATAAACTGTTTATTATCGCCATAATTCAGTGTTTGTCACAATTAAATTTTAAATCAGATTTTTATCTTTTTTGGATTTAATCCAAATACTTACGCTGATGCGAAACGCCACTGAGTTTCTATTAATATAACTAATCTTTCATTTAGTTATGTTCTTGATAACGATTTTCATGATAACGATACGATTGCGGATGGATTATGAAAATAGTAATTTAAAGATAACAGGTAGTCATCATTATTCATAGAGTCACACGGCCGACGCAGCCAGGACCAGTGTTGCCAGCTCCGATTTTAAAAAATCGGGAGGCGTTATAGAAAAAAACAGTAGATGTATGGAAAGACCTACAAGAAAAACAGTAGATGCAGAGGCGTACTTCTTCCGATTTGCACCCGACCCCCCCCTCGCCCCTAGAATTGGTAAATCAAATGAAGATAAACTTAAGACCAGTAACGACTGTGTTTCTGTGGCTTCTGCCGCCCCATAAAGCTAGTGTTTTTTTAGGCAATAGCATTTATTTTAAAATTAATAAAGTTACCTACATTATTTATGGCCAAAAATGTAACTCAACATGCAATTTAAAAAAGAAATACGTATTTTAAGAAAAACAGGAGATTCATGTACAAAAACAGTAGAACAGGAGAAATTTCAGAAAACCAGGAGATCTCCTGTAAAATCTGGAGACCTGGCAACACTGGCCAGGACACAGATTTCCCCTCTGTCGAATGGAGCATACAAACCATTTATGTGTGTAGGTTTTGGCCGTGTACTGTGCCATTGTTAGTGTGTGATTGTCGTAGTTACAGATTTGATTTTTTACTGCAACGTACGTTAAACTGCGTTTGTGTACATAATCTATTTTAATTTTTTTTTGATGATCATTTACATATTTCCCTTTTAATAAATAGAAAAGTACCGAAAGGATTTAGACAAGTTTATAAAATCTGATCGGAATGCATCGGGTTGCCATAATGACGACTTCAACCGAGATGACTTTTACTTTCAGACTAAGTTAGGGTCCGATTGATAGGGTAGTGTAATAATTGCTTCCCTAGCTAGGGGACGCGCCCACCCTTTCAATAGGGCCCTTAAAATTAGGTAGTGTAATATCCGTTACTCTTGCTTTGCATGCAAAGCATGAAAAAGCTTAACTAAGTAATTTTGGACCCCCCATACTTTGACCAGCCATTATTTCATTCATCAGGACCAACCATTTTGAAGTGAACACTTCTTTAGCACCGTTGTGATTTGAGAGTTGATGAAACGGAAGTAGAGTGTTTGACACAAGATAAGTATCCGTAATTTAATCATTTATCATGAGACGGATAGTCGAATGGTAACGGTCTTGATCGACACAAACTGATTGGTGGTTCGATCCTGCGTTCGGTTTTTTTTTTCTCTTTTATTAAGCTATTATTTATTTTTCGAAACAATTTAAGTATAGACTATTTAATTTTGCCCAGTACTTTACAATATCTGAATAGTTAAGTATTAAATGTTTAGTAGGTGCCTAAGTTGTTTATTAATACAGGCATAAACAATGTTTACCTTTCTAATATTTGATTTTTTTTACAGTAATTTTAAATAAATAAATATTTCGAAAAGAACCTTAAATAAGAAAAACTTAACAAAAGAAATAAAATAAAATTAGCTGGTAACAAATAAAACTATGATCTATTCACATCACTAACACGGGTAAATCTTGAGGAACATGTGAATGTATCACACTTTAAGATTAAATGATGAGAAAAAGTGTTTTCTACAAAATTAGGGTCATTTCGGATGAAACACACACTACGTCACCATTTTTCGCGGAGCGCGTATTTCAAACTGACGTAAAAAAATCTAAAGTTCATAAAGCACTGCATTTTTATTCACAACGCCATCTACATATTTTGCCTCAACTAAAGAGACCACAAGCAGCAATAAAGATGCTTTCTAAAGCGTGCTAATTACCAAAAACAGAACCGCCCACAGAGGACACTCAAGTGTTGACTGGAAAAACTTTTATGTCACTCAAGTGTCATGGGACGTTTGGGATGGTACAAAGCTTGAGAAAAGGCATCACCACAACCGTGGTGTTTTGTATACGTGTACGTATTACAGGTTTGTAGAGTTTTTGATCACTTTTATATCCATCACAAAAGCAAGGCAGTGGTTTTGTAATCAACCAACCCCACATTCTCGCGGGGAACCGGGTTCGATCCCCGGTCGGGTCAACTTATAAAATTATTTTCTATTTTCTCGGGTCTAGCTGATTATTTTATTGTAATTTTTTCTGATTCCCTTAATACAGAAGCTTCAATTAACTAATTTTGGGATTTTGGAATCTGGGGTCCTCTAAGAGAGGTTTGAGGAAGCATTTTTGCAGGCCGGCCAGGTGAGGATGGTTGGTGCGGGAGTTTGTAACTGCTGCACCAGCTATCTTCGCGTTTGGACTTTATCACCACTTAATATCAGGTGGGGTAGAGTCCTTTGCCTAACTGGCTATAAAAAAAACTTAAATTAAATAGTATATTAATGTTTCATTTAAAGTGATTAAATACCCATTACAACGTTTTCCGTTTTAGTAAAATAATTTGAAAAAAAACCGCCCCTCAAAGTCACATCATCCAATAGTCAACAATTAATTGGACCGACGGCCTTCTTGATATCCAAACGAGATGTGAACCCGGACTCGGGTTACAGCGTGCGGGTCACATTATCAACTAAACGAGCAGACGCGACACGAGAATAACAATACAACATTCCCACGTAACAAGAGAACAATACAACTCACCTTCCACTGGAAAGATGATCTTTTGTTCCGTTCTGCCGTAATAGTCGTCGAATTCTGGTGGTTTCTCCGTGCCCTCGTTGAGAGTCTGACCCTGGGCCACCGGCATCGGCAGGCTGTTCACCGGCAGTCCAACCACCGGCTTCTTGCTGAGCCTTAGCTTCTTCAGGATCTGCTGTTTCACAAACGCCAACCTCGCTTCCGTAAGCTCGGCTACTGTTAAGTCCCCACTCGCGCAGCCCGCGCACAAACCTAACATCTCGCATTCTATACTTAAGAAGGTAATGACTAGAAAAACGATCACGGGCACTCGCGGAAGAGTCATCGTGGCAGGTTCCTCCGGCGCAGGCAGTTGAAGTAGGCGAGGAGATCCAGACACATGCGTGCGGCTGTGGCGGCGGCCGGCGCTCGACTGAACCGCTGCGAGGGCTCGCCACGTTCATATACAATGCGTATGCGCAGAATGTTGAACTTGGACCGTATACTGAAACGTTGTGAAATTTTTGAAAAAAGGCAGTTAAGCTTTCTGTAAGGTCGATGGGAGCTTTCGCCGCCCTAAGATTGAGTTATTATTACATTCGATTGAATCTAGAGAAAAAATTTACCTGAAAACCTGGATAAAGTATAATTTTTTAAAGTATTATATTCTTTAGACTCAAACATCTAGCAGTATTTAACTGCTAGATGTTTAAAAATAAAAATATATATATGATATGATATTATTTATTCATTATTTTTATTGAAATGGATTCGCATATTCATAAAATGGCATGGTTTAATATATTTTACGTTTATTTATTTTATTCTTATTCATTTTAATTTCTTGAAACGAACTGCTTATTCAATGAACTCTTAACTTATGGTAAAACGTTAACAAAAAGTATTTTATAAATCTCCGAATCGCTGATACATTTTTAGTTTTAAGTTAAATTGCATCCAAATAGGATATGAATTTCTTGAAGATTTAATTAGCTTTTAATTTAAGCAAACCGTCGAAATAAATATATAAAATACTCGTGTCACAGTGTCAGTAACAAAACTCTTTCGAAACGCCTTGACCAGTTCTTATTACATTTTGTGTATAATCAGTAGGTGTGAGAATAGGACATAAACTATTTTTCATACCCCTAAGTGATAACGATGGTCCACCCTTTTTTTCGTCAGGAAAATACTTGACGCATACCCCGCAACATGGGAGTGGCAACGGGGTTATGTGGGTCTCCTCTCGACCCGTCCTGCCCGCCCACTCAGCCAGTCCTGGGACTGGCTCAGCGACCGCCTAGGACGGGGGGCCCCGACCCACTAAAAACCTAACGATGCCCCTCACCTCACTTGGTCCATGGTCCCACCCAGCGTGGGCGAGACACCGGCACTAGATGAGGTCACGGGATCCCTTCCGAAGTCTTCCGCGAAGAGGTGGTCCACCCTTAATATTCTTAAGGGTATATTCTATATAACCTTCTATATATTTTTCTATTTATTTAACGCTGTGAAGTTTTTTTCGCCTGCTTTTCTCTACAGCTATAAAATGACGATAACGGGTGATAGAAAAATAATTTGGGCGATTCAAAAGAGTTGTATTAGGCTTCCGATTTGTATAAAGAAATTTTTATCTTTGACTTCATAGAATTTTCATGTCTGATATCACAGAGTGGAAAGCAAAAGGTTGCGACTCAGCAAGAACTGTTCCGTTGCGGAAGATCAGCCACACCCATTCTCTTTAGATGCAAAGCGAAATATGCAGAAGAGACCCATAATGGCAATTTTTAATTTTTGAGTTTATTAGCTTAGAGAACAGCGTTGCCATTGATACGGCAGTTACCGTAATATACGGCAATTTGAGCTCATAATTTCAGATTATACGGCATACGGAAGGTATGTTATTGCCGTATAATAATACTTACTACCTACAAATTTTAATAAATAAAATTAGGTTATATATTTTAATAAATAAAATCATGATTTTTATTTAAAAATACGGCAATCTGATGTATCGAATACGGCAACTCTTTCAAACTTGATGGCAACACTGTTAGAGAATATTTTTTCCATAGCCCCTCAGGACAGGAGCTGGGGTTTTCGTTTGGTCGAAATGGGTTAATAATTTAGCGGAGAACAGAGAAAAACAGAGGAAAAGAATGTTTATTTATTTTAATAAGTATATTGAAGTGTAAATTCCGTAAAATTTCATTACTTAATTAATTTATAAACTAGTATGATGCAATGAACTCACTTGTTGCTATCTTCTTTTAATATTTTGATTAAATCTTTATCTTTACTTTCTTATTATATTGTTAATATGTACTTACATTACCTATATTTATAAAGGTGAAGGGTTTGGCTGAATCCGTTTATCTTACCCCCTCAGGTTCGAGTGGTCTAGAGGCTCCAGACGGAGAGGGGACTCCCCCGTGGGGAGATGCCATCCGCCTGGAATACCTCTAGAGGCACTCGCCAATTCTCGGCTTGAGGTCCCCTTAGGATCTCGTCGTCCCCAAACCCGGTGACGCTGTAAAGGTCATATGCGACCAACAGCATACACACTCAAAAAAAACCCTTATCTTAGAGTTCCTAAGACGTACAATTTTATTTAGTAGTGCTAAATGAAAAAAATATATTTCGTTGAATAGTTTATTTATTATGACGACCTCCATGGCCGAGTGGTTTGTACGCCGGGTTTCATGGTGTCGCCGACTCGAGAGGTCCCGGGTTCGAGTCCCGGTGGGGGCAGATGTTTGTGTGATGAACACGAGCATTTGTACTCCAGTCATGGATGTTTAATATCTATTTCTATATAAATATACTTATATATGTACTGTATATGTATTCTATCCGTTACCCTAGCATCCCATAACACAAGCCTTATAGTGCTTACTTTGGGGCTAGGCTAATTGGTGTGAGTGTTGGAAATATTTATATATATATATATATATATATATATTTATCAAGAAAGGCTTTGAAACATCACGCTACGCAAGGAGCCTCAATAAAATACCGGTCAAGTGCGAGTCGCGCTCGCCCAAAGAGGGTTCCAAACAAATTTCTAAGTACGTAACACAAACGTCCGTATCTTCTTTTTACGTTAACTTACAAATGTGATTTTCTCACCACTGCATGGGACTGTAGACCTAAGTACCTGTATGATTTTAATTACAACTCGTTACCTTCACGCGTTCCCGAGATAAAGGGTCTAGACTGACAGACAAACAGGCGGACGGACAAGAAAGTAATCGAGAGATCTTTTAAAACGGGAAAAAGTTTATTTTACGAGCTTCCGTTGCATGCGCACTTTAATGGTTAAAGTCCGCAGAAATTATGTATGTCAAAATTTTTACCTTTTTGAAATTGTAGAGTAGAGAAAAATCTTATTAAATACGTATTTGGAAAATTTACCTGTAGATTTTTTTTGTTTTTTTTTTATTGATAAAGATTTACCAACAACATATAATTTTACATTACAATTTGAAAAAATATATAAATACCATACTTGAAGATATGCTTTGTAATAGGTGAATACAGCATTCACATAAATGCAAATAAAGTACAATGACAGATTAAACAAACAAAAAATATATCCACCATCATGAAAAACAGTTATACTCAATTATAATATTACTTATAATTATAGGATTACTTAAATTAACCTTCGGTGAATAAACTATACGAGTGACGCATGCAATATTAATCTTTCTCTCCTAATCAATTCTATTATGAAAACGTTTATTCGTTCATACCACTATTATTGTGCCTATTTCTTATGACTAAGTTATTTTAAAGGTAACACGTGAAGTAACAATATCAAACATACATTTATATTATTTCAAGTTGTTAGGGCTATGCAGTTCTCAATTGAACTGCCTCATCATTACCAGCTTATTAATGTCCCCACTGCTGGGGCGCAGGTCTTCCCTATGGATGGAATAGGGAGATTGGGCCATGACCCACTACGCGGGCCCGTTGCGGCATCTGCATCATCTGCATGAAAAGCATGCAGTACAGATGCGGTCAACCTCGTTTGTCATATCAACAGGTTCTGAAACAATATAAACTAATAGACTTAAAATCGAGACGACAACAACTAGAAGCCATAGTTTTGTATGATATATGTTACAGAGGGTTTGACTGCACTAAATTAGTGAATAAAATTGGCTATATAATACCAAGGCGAACGCAGATGAGAACCTTGTGAAAACATCAACTATTTGCAACATCTTTATGTCGTACCAATGCAGGCAAGCGATCTCTTCTGCAGCGTGTCATGAATTTATACAATAACGCTTTATATGATATAGACATCTTTGCTGTAAGTAAATATTAATGAATAAAAGGCTTATAAAAGCGAAATAATGTATTGTTAAGTATATGTAAGAACTTTTCTCACGTAGTAATCAACTCTCAACAAATATTGGAAGTAACTTGTGGTTAACGGCGTTGGTTTTGCAATTATAAAAACTTGGTGTTATTATATTTTATATAAGATTTATTGTAAAACTATTTGTTGACCTTAAAAAACTAAAAAAAACGGCTGCAGACGCAGTCGGGACCAAAGCCTTAATATGCCTTCCTTAACACGAAGGAGCTCGAGATAGTAAATTTTTCGTTACCCATCCATTGACCGACCACTTCGAAAGTTGCATATTTGCATAGCCAAACGCGGTAACCATTTGCGCAATTCGAGCTCCTCAATGATCCTCAATGGATCTATCTAAAAGATCTGGTGACGACCTCCGTGGTCGAGTGGTTTGTACGCCGGGTTTCATGGTGTTGCCGACTCGAGAGGTCCCGGGTTCGAGTCCCGGTGGGGGCAGATGTTTGTGTGATGAATACGAGCATTTGAACTCCAGTCATGGATGTTTAATATGTATTTTCTATAAAAATATACTTATATATGTACAGTTTATGTATTCTATCCGTTACCCTAGCATCCCATAACACAAGCCTTATAGTGCTTACTTTGGGGCTAGGCTAATTGGTGTGAGTGTTGGAAATATTTATTTATTTATTTATTTATTTATCTTTGTTTTTATATAATTTATTGATGACCATGAATACAAGTCCTTCAGTGGTACGCATAAATACAAATCTTAATCTTCTTTTTTTACATTAGAATGTCGGTGTGACGCATTCTAATGTTTCTTGGAGTGCTTGGCATGAAATGTATCGAGTTGTTTTTTTTCGATAAGCTTCTCTGAGGTAGTCATCACTACAATAAAGTTCCCACGTCCACTTGACCGGAATAGCGTATATTTTAAAGATTCC